ATGAATCAGTCTGTACAGAAGATTTCTTGAATAGCTGCCTACTTATACCACTACTTCCCTAAATATGGTCCTGGTACCATCAGCATCTTTGGGACCTTGTCAGAAATCCAAATTCTTGGGTTCCACCCCAAACTTAGAGTTTAAACTCCGTGAGAGGTCCTAGTAGTGTTACTCCAGGTGATTCTGATGCATGTGTGCATTTGAGAAATAACTGTTATAATGCATCAGTGGTTCCAAATCAGCTGCAAATCAGTCAGATGGAGAATTTCAAACACACACACACACACACACACACACACACACACACACACACACGACTTATGGGCTATATTTTATTTATTTAAAATATATTTTATTGATTTTTTTACAGAGAGGAAGAGAGAGGGATTGAGAATTAGAAATATTGATGAGAGAATCATTGATCAGCTGCCTCTTGCACACCCCCCACTGGGGATGTGCCCACATGCCCTTGACGGGAATCAAACCTGGGACCTTTCAATCTGCAGGCCAACGCTATATCCACTGAGCAAAATCGGTTTTGGCTGGGCTGTATTTTAGACCGACTCAATCAGAATCTGTGAGAATTAGGATCCTGGGAGTTAAGTGTTTCCCAGATAGTATAAACTGTCTAAGTTTTCTATACTCTCGATCTGAGTTGTGGTAACACTGAACTTGTTACCACAGAGAACTGCCTATTCTCTTTTCTCATGCACTTTCTCTCTCTACATTTAAGACTCTCTGAACACTTTCAGAGTCAGAGAGAAGGCAGCTGCCTTAGTTGGCGCTTTGTGTGGACTGAGGGTGGAGCTGGTTCTCAGTGTGGTATGGGTAGTAGAGGAGAGGAGAGGAAATTGGACAGCTGTGGAGGTCGCTGAAGGCTGACCTTAATATTGCTTCAGGACTTAGTTTTGTAGCAAATTCTGAACACCAGACACACCCTTTATAAAATATTTAATACTGAATGTAGAGAACCTTTTTACACTAAGGTTGTATTTGAAAGGAAAATTACAATAATTTTCGGACTGTCTCTGTCTGATTAGAGTTCTTGATGGGAAAGCCTAGTTCAGTGGCCGGCAAACCTCGGCTCGCGAACCACGTGGTTTGTGAGCCACAGTTTGCCACTCTGTTGACTAATGAGTTTGCTGACCACTGGACTAGACTAAATGTTACCGTGTAGTTGGAAGCTATGAGGATTAGGCAACCGTGGCATATTGTGTGCAAGGACAGTGGCCACTGGCCTAGTTTATTAGAATTGAATAACTAATGCTTGGAATTGCAGCTCAGGGATTTCTATTTCTACTCAGGGATTTCTACTACTAATCAAACTGTTAACTGATGGCTTTAAAATGTATTTATGATAGATTATATCTGGACTTTGGCTGTGCAACTCTGAAGGCTTCAAAGAATCAAGTTACATCATAAAACTCCTCTCATTTCAACATACAGGTTTCCTCTGCTATCGGAGTGGAGAGCATTCCTCTGAAACCTTCCGTCAGCTGTAGTGCATCAAGTGAAAAAGCCATAACCTTAGGGCACATCTTGCTAATGGATGCATTAAATAAATCAGAATAAAGCACAAATGCTCACACAGTTCATAGGTACGGCAGGACGCTGCTGAGATGTTGAGTGTGGGAAGAAGCTTGGGGTTCCTACTCTTGCTTCTCTGGGTGTGAGCTGTATCTATAATTCCTTGCTATAAAACAAATGCTGAATGCTATTTTTTGTGCTGAGTGAGAGGTTGGATGAGAAATGCAGTATTTGGGGGGACATGAAGAGAACTTCTATGTCAGGGTGGGCATTTTTGAGTTTTTAAGTGATAATGGATTGGAACATTATCCAAAATGAACAAAACCCTGAAGGCAAGGTTTTGCCATGGAGATAGCATTCAGCTTCTGAGATGAAGCAGTTGTGGAACCAATTCCAGAATATTCCGGACTCCATCCATGCTTTTTTGTTCCACCTCCAATGGGGACTGGCGTAAGGTTCAGGTTTTTCTTCTCTGAGTGCTATTGGGTTTTGTGCTCTGTGTACCATTATTTGTTTGCACTTGAAGTCACCTTGACATTGGCACGCAATAGCAAGGTTGCACGGGTCTTTGCATGATTTAAAGCCAGAGGGTTTGGAAGCCATTTGCATTGCATAGGTCCATTTGCCAACATTCTTGTAGAACAAGCCTGTATCCTCAGCATTGAAAACCTGCTCTTCCATATAGCCCTTTTCATGTATAATGCTTAGCAGATATTTTTAAAAGTTCTTCTGCAGCCTCCAGATCTGTAGGATCTGCTTTGCCTGCAAATTTAACATTTTTCCATGTGGTACCTATCACCTTTTGAAACCTGCAAGCCAGCCTGCACTAGCTGAAAAAGGTTTGATATTTTCTTCACCCGGGGTAACATGACTGTAATTTCTTTGGCCTGTAGCCTCATAACAAAGCTGTCTACTACACTCTTTTTATTGGTTGTCATCTCAGAAATCCACAAATTTAGCTGCTTTTCCATTGCTGCATCACATACTTGTTACTTTAGCACTTTCTGGATTTGCAAATTTTTTTTAATGGATATATTGTTTTGTTGATTCATTAACATTGAATTCATGGCCAACAGTATTATAATTCAGGTCTGAATGAAGCTTATCTAACACATATTTTCTCTGTAAGATACATTACAGATTCTTGTGCTTAGGAACCCTAGGCAGTGCTTTAATACTGCTACTCTTGGGGGCTATTTAAAATGGTGAAGTCAACAAAAATGTAACACTAGTGAAAGGACATTTTCTTATATTCTGAGCTAAAGCAAGATGGTGCAGAGCATGGCCTTGATTCACGTTTAGCTGGAGATGTGTGCATAAAGCAATTCAAAATTTCCACTTCTATGTACATGTTCATAATGACTGAGAAAGTGTGGCAAATACTGATTTTGGGGTTACACATGCATTTTATCTAGTAGACAAATTTGAAAATAGAATCAGTGAATGAGGACCAACTGTATTTATATAGGTCTCTTGCAAAAAGTGTTATCAGTAAAATTTTCAAGCACAAATATATATATAATTTTAGAATACAATTTTGTGGATTAAGTGGGGAGGCAATAAATTAAAGGAGAAAGAAATTAAGGTGAAATTTCTGACTTTCAAGGAAGAGCATGTTCATAATTTTTTTCTAGATGGAGGATGGGTATTATATCTTGTATTGAGAGTCATCCTTTTCCCATATAATAAAAGACTAATATGCAAATTGCTATACAGCAGAACTGGTCTTTATGACAGGCACTGACCACCAGGGGGCAGACACTCAATGCAGGAGCTGCCTTCTGGTGATCAGTGTGCTTCCACAGGGGGAGCGCTGCTCAGCCAGAAGCCAGGCTCAGGGCTGCCAAGTGCTGTGAGTGGTAGAGATGGGAGCCTCTCCTGCCTCCGCTGCAGGCAGGTGGTAAGGAGCCGGGGTCTGGAGGGATGTCTGACATCACTAGAAGGGTCCTGGACTGTGAGAGGGTGCAGGCTGGGCCAAGGGACCCCCCCACCCCATGCATAGGATGTCACAACTTAATACTTCGCAACTATTTAACATGAATACTTTATATGTTAACTACACACTTGGAACATAGATTTTCAAATTTTTTTTTAGGGAGAGGAGCAAAATGAACTAGGAGGAAGCTTTGGTTTTTATGTTCTACTCTACTGTCGACAAAAAAAAAAAAAAAAAAAAACAAAAAAAACAAAACAAAACAAAAAAAAAAACCCAACCCAAATCTGTTCAAATTTGGTGGGAAATATGTTGGCACTTTCTTTGAAGAATTTTTAAATTATAGGGGAAGAAAAGTTACATTTCCTCCCTCTTCACACCTGTCAACACGCTGATTTTGTTTTGATTTGTAATTCTAAAAGACCTGAGCACTTTGAAATGAAACCACAGTATTCCAGAGACCTGATGGAATGTCCTAATTTCTCCCTAGAGAACAGTACAAAAAGGCTTGAATGTCCTAAAAATGCTAGAAATCTGGATGATGATTTGGTGTAACTGCCAAAACAAAGTCTTCACATACAGCAAAAAGCTCTTCTGATGTCTCTGGCTTTCCCCTCGATTTTCCTTGTAACTGGTACTGTTCTGGTTTCCTTCATGTTTCTGGCCTTGGGAGGCTGTCCATAATTACTTGTGTGACCGGTGGCCCCCACAGTTTTACCTAGGACCAAGCACCAGGCAGTCTGCGGAGCCGCCCTCCTGCTCTTCACCTGTGGTGGAGGCCGCATGGGCCACTATTTCCCTCCAGCTGACTTACTCGCCTACTGTATAATCGGCTATTTTCGTTAATCATTCATGAAGCACAGGCTCTGTATTTGGGAAAAGAAACGTTGCATTGTAATCCCAATATGCATAATTTATGTTTCTAATTATTTTAAACCATCGTATTAAAATGCTAACTCCACCCTCCCCTGAGCTGAAGAAACACTGGGTTCTTTACAGCCCCTTCGGGTTGCTCAAGTCACGGAGGCCGGGTTCCCCCGCGTTCCCCCTGGACGGGGCAGTCTGTGCCCAAGGGGGCCGTGTCTGAAGTGGAGCACCAGGTACAGGGAGGAGGAGGAGGGCGCTCGTGGGCCGGGCCAGGTGGGCCGGGTCCGAGGATGAGGACCCGATAGCGAGAAGAGGAGGCCTGCGTGGGGCCAGGTGGGCGGCCAGACTGAGGACCGGAAGAGGGCGCGCGGGGGGCTGTGCGGGGCGCGGCCTGAATACGTCACTTCCGGCGCTCGCTCCAGTTCCTGGTGAGGGAAGGGGCCCGAGATTGGTGCAGCCGGGAGGAAGGAAAGAGGGTGAGGAGAGGCGGCGGCTGGCCGGGCGAGCGAGCGAGCGAGCGGCGGGGGCGGCCGGGGGCGCTCTGGGCCGCCCGGGTCTCCCGCCCCGGGGGAGCCTCCCTGCCTCCGGGGCCGCGGCGGGGTGGCCTGGGGGCGCGGCGCGGCCCCCCGCCGTGCTCGGCTTCTGTGCTCAGCGGCTGTGCTCTGTGTTGCAGGTCTACCCGGATCCGCGCAGCGAGAGCGAGTGTCTGAGCAACATCCGCGAGTTTCTGCGAGGCTGCGGGGCCTCCCTGCGCCTGGAGGTGAGCGGCGGGGCGCGGGCGGCGGCGGGCTCGGGAGCCCGGGGGGTCAGCGAGCGGCGCCCCGGGGTGTGAGCGCGGCCCCCGGGCGGGGAGGAGCCGCTGGACCGAGCTCTAAAGTCGGCCCTCTTTTCGGTGAGGGAAAAATGGGTCCAGTAGCTTGGGGTGCAGGTGACACATTTTCGACAGCTGCTTGTTACGGGCGCGACCTGATTCCTTGGCACTTGCCTCGGCTGTACCTGCTGATAGGGTTCCGCCGGCGACCCGCAGCCGGGCCTGGGTCCGCGCGGCAGAGTGCCTGGAAGGGGGCGAGGCACCGCGGGGCAGCAGTAAGACGGGTCCCAGCCCTCTTCCAGCCTCACTCCTCCGTGTGTTTCTTCTCTTCCACGAATTAGGTGGTTTTCCCTCTAACAGTTGATGGTTAGATCAGAGACACGCCAACCTGTGTCTTGGGGAGGACGCCGGGCGGTGTGTGTCTTGTGAAGGTTTTGTCGCTGAAGGTCTTGTCACTGCACTATATATGGCCTTTCAGGGGATGCTCTCTGGAAACTTCTCCTTTTCATCTTATTTTAACATGTGATTTGCCTTCATCTTGGGGTAGTGCTTTAGGTCCAGAAATCCTGCTGGGCAGTTACTTCAAAATTACAGACTGATGCGGCTCTAGTTAGTCCTGTGCTTAAACCTGTTAACCGGGGAGTTCCCTTTTTAGTTACACAACGTACAACGGGTGCATACTCTTTCACTAGGACGTGTCAGTACGTCACACCCAGCGGACGTAATTTTATATTATTTTTTAAATTTATACTTCATTAAAATAAATGAAATATATATTTTTTCGTTTATTTATATACAAAGCACAAAATACAAAATTACAAACAAATAGAAAAGAATACCAACAAAAAAATGGAAACATCGAATTAAAAAATTATAAATTTTACTAACAATTATAAAGATTACAGCCGAAGCCAGTTTGGCTCAGTGGATAGAGCGTCGGTCTGCGGACTGAAAGGTCCCAGGTTCGATTCCGGCCAAGGGCATGCACATTGGTTGCGGGCACATCCCTGGTGGGGGGTGTGTAGGAGGCAGCTGGTCGATGTTTCTCTCTCATCGATGTTTCTAGCTCTCTATCTCTCTCCCTTCCTCTCTGTAAGAAAATCAATAAAATATATTTAAAAAAAAGATTACAAAAAATATATACCGTCCCTCTCAGGGCGCAACATATATTTCAAGGACGTATTTATATGTCCTACCGGTTCCCAATAGTGTTTATGTTTGACATATTTATAGGTCCCGCTCGGTTAACAGGTTGAATCTTGTGCTCCTCTTGCTTCTCTGTGCTACCACACTCTTGGCCTTTGTTTCCTTATCTGAGAACTGAGTGAGATACTGAGCTCCGTAGCTAACAGTGTGTGAAAGCATCTCTGACAGAACCTGTTACGTAAGATGGATCCAAAGTGGTTTTCTGTCCAGTCTCTTATTGTAGGTTTCTTAGGGGAAAAGCTAGAAGTCATTCCCTCTATGAGGGAAGGTTGTAAGGGAAGCTTATCATTGTTTGAAATCAGATACATAGATATTCATAGAGATGGAAATACTGTTTTTATGAATGATTGTAAACTGAGACATTGTTTTATTTATTTATTTATTTTTTAATATATTTTATTGATATTTTACAGAGAGGTAGGGAGAGATAGAGATAGAAACGTCGATGAGAGAGAAACAGCTGCCTCTTGCACACCCCCTACTGGGGATGTGCCCGCAACCAAGGTACATGCCCTTGGCCGGAATCGAACCCGGGACCTTTCAGTCTGCAGACCGACGCTCTACCACTGAGCCAAACCGGTTTCGGCATAAACTGAGACATTCTATTGTTGGGAGTATTTGATGTCTTCAAGGAAACCTTGCACAGATGAGGGAGAAGGCTTAGAATGGAGATTCCAAAGACCATGTCATTTTATCATTGCATTTCCCTGTTGGGCTGTGATGATATGCTTTGCTGGTAGCAATTTTTGCTTTTTCTTTACCTTTCTTGTGGAATTTTATTTTCCTCTTCAAACTAATAAGTTTTGTTTATGTAGTACATTTGAAACCCGGTTTGCACATTAAGATTATAATCAGATAACTTCAGTGTAAGACTTGTAAAGCATTGCCTTAAAAAAAAAGTTGTGTTAAAAAAAAATCCTCATCCTTACTTTTCTATAATTGAGAGTGTTTTTATAGATGTATTAGAAAAGTTTGTTCACTGACATATCCCAAGTATCTACAACAGTGCTGGGCACATAGTAGACCTTCAGTAAACATTTGTAATTGATTGATGAGCTTGAAGTTTAGTTGATAGCAATTTTTTTTAAGGTAAAGGGAAATTATGTTTTATTTTGTGCTGTTTTTAAAGAGTAAATATCTCTTTCATTAAACTTAAAATACAGGCAAATTTTGATAGCATTCTATCAAGAGTCAGTTGTAAAACTCCTAATTACATTACAGATGATAAAAATAAAACAGCACATCAGAAACCTCATAAATGGTTTGTCACTCTGATTTTTATGAAGTTACCCTGAAAAAGGAGTTTGTATGGACCCAACTTGGGCTTCCAGCTTGTTCTCACCTGTGGTGTGAAAGAACAGGACTGTTCCCTAGAAGATGGCGTTGCTCTTAAAGTTCAGCAGTTTCCCAATGATTTCATTTTATTTCCCTTCACATCTTCTTTATTTAATTTCCCCCCATGGCCATTTATACCCCATTCCTTCTTATACCCGCACCCTCCTTCAACATCTGATCGCTTGAATTGTAGATTAGTTTTTGTATAGTTAAAAGCTTCAAGGTGCTTTGTTCCAGGAGTTTGTTTAGACTTATTTGTAACAGACTGTCTGATTTTGGTAGATGTATTTGCTTGTTTGCCACCATTTAAAACTATGCCATGATTTTTTAAAGGAAAAGAGGTACTGAATATCATGGTTACTTTATCAGTTATTTCTGTTGCATATATCAATACATCATAATTAGCTATAGAAAACCCCCAACAAGTTGTTCTTATTATCAAAGGAGTTTTAATTTTAAAGGAATATTGTACAGTTTGTGTTTGTTGCACGAATAGAGCAGAAAAGAGAACTGTAAGAAAAAATAAAAATTGTGTACTGCCACATCTAAAGATAACCAATGTTAAAATTACTATATATATTTGCATTCCTCCCCTCTTTACACAAATATAAAAATACTTAAAAAATATTCATGACATCATTGTATACATAATGTTTTGTAACATGCTTAACATAATGTGACTGTTTTCTCATGTTAAATATTTATCTGCTTATTTTTAAAAGGTGCTCATAATTCCTGGTGACGAGTCTCAATTTTGGACATAGAGGTTATTTCTAAGTTTTCATTATTGTAAACATTGAACTGTGCAGTGGACATTTCTTTACAAAATCCTTCATCATTATCTTTTTTTTTTTTTTCATTTCAGTAAATCTTTATTCAGATTATTACAATTGTTCCTCTTTTTTACCCCCCCATAGCTCCCCTCAACCCGGTTCTCACCCCACCATCTGCCCTTAACCCCCCTCCCACTGTCTTCATCCATAGGTGTACAATTTTTGCCCAGTCTGTTCCCACACCCTCCATACCCCTTTCCTCCCGAGAATTGTTAGTCCACTCCCTTCCTATGCCCCTGATTCTAATATATTCACCAGTTTATTCTGTTAATCAGCTTTTTTATTCACTTGATTTTTAGATTCACTTGTTGATAGATATGTATTTGTTCATAATTTTTATCTTTATCTTTTACTTCATCCTCTTAAAGTATACCTTTCAGCATTTCATATAATACTGGTTTGGTGGTGATGAACTCCTTTAGCTTTTTCTTATCTGTGAAGCTCTTTATCTGATCTTCAATTCTGATGATAGCTTTGCTGGGTAGAGTAATCTTGGTTGTAGGTTTTGCTGTTCATCACTTTGATTATTTCTTGCCACTCTTGTCTGGCCTTTATAGTTTCTGTTGAGAAATCAGTTGACAATCATATGGGTGCTCCCTTGTAGCTAACTAACTGCTTTTCTCTTGCTGCTTCTAATATTCTCTCTTTGTCTTTTGCTTTTGGCATTTTAATTATGATGTGTCTTGATGTGGTCCTCTTTGGATTCCTTTTGTTTGGGGTTCTGTGCGCTTCCTAGACTTGTAAGTCTATTTCTTTCACCAGGTGGGAACGTTTTCTGTCATTATTTCTTCAAATAGGTTTTCAATATTTTGTTCTCTTTCTTCTTCTGGAATCCCCAAAATTCGGATATTGTTATGCTTGAAGTTGTCCCAAAGGCTCCTTACACTATCTTTATATTTTTGGATTCTTTTTTTCTTTATGCTTTTCCTGTTGGGTGCTTTTTGCTTCTTTGTATTTCAAATCTTTGACTTGATTCTTGTGATCCTCTAGTCTGCTGTTGGATCTCTGTATATTGTTTTTTATTTCAGTCAGTGTATGCTTAATTTCTAGTTGGTCCTTTTCCTTATCCTCGAGGGTCTTACTAAATTTATCGGCCTTTCCTAGAAAATTCTTGAAAAACCTTATAACCGTGGTTTTGAACTCTATATCCAGTCGTTTGTTTTCCTTCATTGCTTTCATTTGTGTCCTTTCTTTGTCTTTGCATTTTGGCTGCTTCCCTGAGTTGATAGAGTGGCTTTATGTGCTAGGTGTCCTATAGGGCCCAGTGGCTCAGCTTCCCCAGTTACCTGAGGTGGACACTCTTGGAGCACCCCTTTGTCGACTGTGTGCACAGTCTTGTAGTTAAGTCTTGATTGTTGTTAATATCACTGGCAGGAATTGACCTTCCGGCCAACTGTGTCTACCATGGGAGAACTCCTGTGCTGGAGACACACTTATGGGGAAAGACTTGCTTCAGTGGAGGTTTGGTGCACACTGAGTTTGCCCCCTGAGTGTGTCCCTTGTGAGGAGATGTAATCTGGATGGTCTACTCTGACCACTGGGTACACTGGCTCTTGGATCTCCAAGGAGGTGCTA